CAGCAATTGGTGCTAAATCATAAGGTTTTGATAGGAGTTAATGAAATGAGTTACCATACATAAAGCACTTAGAAGGGTGCTTGGTATTTAGCAAGTGTTTGTTATTGTATTTTATAAATATATCCACATATTTTAGTGGGTACAGATGGAGATAAATAAAAGGCTAAGCAACATGTTCAACTAAGTTGTATAATAATATATTCTTAACAAGTAAAAAGCTTTCAATGTTGTATTTATTTTATGTCTTAATACAGTTTTTATTTGCAAATTTAAGGTTTCAAAGATACAAAAAGTGGTATCATAAAAGAAAATGTATTACACTTAATAACATCACACAATTATGAAAAATCACAAATTACATAAACTCTCAATCACCACCATTAATCTTAATGAGAGATGCCACATAAAGTAAATTTGTCAAAGTGGAATATCCATATTCTTTAACTCTTTGAAATCACAGCAGTTTACTTAACTGCAAATGAGAGGCTGGTACAGCTAGAGATTGGCCACGTTTATTGAAATGTCTAGCACACTCTAAATCATCGTGCAAGACACAACCCCTATCTCCCCTACCTCCATTGCTGTAGAACTCTTATCTTTATGTTTGTTTTTTCTAATGAACTTAAATTCAACTCTAGCTGAAAATGGCAGCCTTCTTGATCACTAAAGCTAGTGTATTTATCTCAGCTAACATGCTCCAAAAACTCCCTGCAAGCCTGGACCTTGTTGATATACCATTCTTGCCATTCCCTTGGCTTCCCTGACACCAAACTCACCTGGTTTGCCTCTTTCTTCTCCTTTTCTGCTCTGTCCATGCTGACTGCCTCCAAAGCAGCTATTTTCCCCAAAACGGATATTCCTCAGGCATTTCACCAGGTTCTGTCTTCAGGCAGCCCTCTCCCTTCTTCCCTCCTCGAGAGGGAAGCGCTCTCTGCCCTCACAGGCTGGAGCCTGCATCTGCCACCCAGAGGCTTCAGAGGGCCCAACCAGGACCACCTTTCACTGCAGCCGTCACCTACAGGGGCCAGTGGGCGCCCAGCAGCATCAGAGGAGCCAGCGAGGTGGAAACAGCGAGTCAAAGGCTCTGAAAACTGCACTGACACTGGGACTAGAAGTCACTAAAGAACAGAGCCTAAACAGGGTGACTGCCTGCTAAGATAGAGTTCCATTAAGATTTGACATGGTAGCCAAAGTGTCTAAGATACAGCCAAAAATCACTCATCCGGACAAAAATGAAAAAAAAAAAAATCACAGCTCAAATGAAAAAAGACACAACAGATGCCAACACTGAGATGATTTAAGTGTTAGAATTATCTGACAAGAATTTCAAAATCATTATCATAACAATGCTTCAATGAGCAGTTACAGATAGCCATGAAACAAATGATAACATAGAAAATCTCATCAAAGAAATGCAAGGTATAAAAAAGAAGCAAATAGAAATTACAGAACTGAAAAACAGAATAACTTAAATTTTAACAACTCACTGGAGAGGATCAATAGCAGAATGAATATGATGGAGAGAAGAATCAGTTAACTTGAAGACAGAACAATAGAATGTAACAAATCTAAAGAAAGAAAATAAGTTGAAAAAAAATAAACAAAGCCTAAGGGACCTGTGGCATCATAACAAATGATCAAGCATCCATGTCATCAATTATCAGGAGAGGAGTAAGAGAAGGTTGGAAAAAATTATTTGAAGAAATAAAGACTGAGATTTCCCAAATTTCCTAAACACATATACCAACATACTTAAGAAACGACTGAACCACAAACAGAATAAGTTCAAAGAAACTCACATCAAGCCACACCATAAAGAAAGTTCTGAAAACTAAAGACAAAGTAAAAAATCTTGAAAGCAATGAGACAGAAACAATCTAAGGGGGAGAAACAATTCAAATGGCAGCAGATTTCTCATTTGAAACCACAGAAGGTCAAAAGGAACAGATAACATTTTTCAAGTGCTAAAAGAACTATCGATCATAAATTCTATATTCAGCAAAGACATCCTTCAGAAATGAAGAGGAAATAAAGACATTCTCAAAGGAAAACTAAGAGAATGTGTTACCTGCAGACCTACACTTCAAAGATGGGTATGGGAAGCTCTCCAAATAAGAAATAAATAATAACAAGGCCTGAAACTGTGGAAAGGAAAGAAAAACAACAGATTAGGGAATGAATGAAGGATAAATAGACTATCTTTCTCCTTATGATAGTTGAATCAATATAATTCCATCTGATGTGGGGTTTAATATATGTAAAGAAGTAATTGAGACAACTGTATTTTTAAAGTGGGAAGGGGGAAAGAATATAAAGACAAATAGGATTTTTATATATTACCTGACACGCTAAAACACTGATACCAGTAGATTGTGATAAATTATGTGCATATATTGTATTACATAGAACAACCACTAAGAAAATTATACAAGTGATACACTCAAAAGCAATATTATAAACACATCAAAATGGAATCCTAAAAATATTCATGTAACCAAGAATAAGGCAATAAAATAAATGGAGAAAAGAAAAAATGGAGGGATCAAACAAAAATCCAATAGTAAGATGGTAGATTTAAGGGATATCAATAATTTACCTACATAGATTAATTAGAAGGCTGAAATTGGCAGGGTGGGTTCAGAAAAATATGACAGCAATACATTGGCTCCAAGAAACCCACATCATATATAAGATAGGTTGAAACCGAAAGGCTGAGAAAAGATATAGCATACAAACATTAACCAAAGAAGGAGTGCTATACTATACACCAGATAAAGTAAATTTCAGAACAAAGAAATGTGATAGAAACAAAAAAGAACGTTAAGGATAAAAGGATCAATCCACCAAGAAGACATCATGACCCTGAACAAGTGTGTGTAAGCCAATTTCACCTAGGATGCTTCTGCTTGCTAATTTCCAAATCCCTCTTCCCAGACACCTTCCTCTAAGACACAGTAAATCAGAGAAAGGTGGCAGCGACCCCTGGCTTTCATCAGCCTCCTGAGCTTGCCAACTGACACGTCAGCGCAGAAGCAAGGCTTCACACCCACTTCCGCGTCACACGCTGTGTGTGTGGCAGGCGCCGCGCAGAGCTGCCCAGGAGCTCCCCCACCTTCCAGCCCAGGGCTAGACAGGGCTCCTGCGTCTGTCAAGGCTGGACACCCGCCGGTATTTCTCCGGCTGTGCCAGGCCACACGGCTCCCCCGTCTTCTGCGCCAGCCCCCAGATCCCTAGTAGGAGGCGCCTACCCCCTGACTGATGCTAAACATATCCTTTTGTCTTCCTTGCCCTACCCTTTCTTTTCCCCATCACTGCTCTCTCTGAATTCCTGTTTCTGTTCATAGCACATGGATTTGTCCAGCTATCCGGACTGCAATCTCTATCATTTTCTTCAAATTCTGTGACTCTTCCCTTCCGGCATCTCCTACAGCAAGCCCCACCAGTCCTGTCCCCTGTGTGGTGACTCTATGCTAGTTCAGCCTTTCACTCCACAGTACCTCCTAACTGGTCTGTTTGCAGTGCTGTCGGAAACACAGCACTGAAATGGCTCTGACTGGTTCCCAAACAAAACATCTTTCCTGACTTACCCGGCTTTCTGAACTTTGCCCACAAATTCTGGCTGTTCCACTTTCCAGTTCAGCTGGATCTCACTGGTCCCTAAGTCCTTCCATGCTTTCATCCTTATGGTTCACTGGCTAGAATGCCTTTCTTCAGTCCCCATCTGGAAAAACACTAGACTTTCTTCAAGGCTCATTGAAGGCTAAATTGATGGCTAAATTCACTGGAAGGCTAATTGAAGGCTAAATGCAATCTCCATCGTGAAGGTGGTATTTCAGCAGGTTTTGAGCATGAAATGTCATCCCCTTCACCAGACCTAATCTCTTTCTTCCTCTGAATCTTCACAAGATACTTTCCTATGATTCTTTAACAGTCTGCCACATCTCTACTGATTTGCAGATTTGACTTCTTTCCCCACCAAGTCTAAGTTCCAAACACACCAACAGTATCTTCTTCATCTCTGTACCCTGTATAACCACCCTCTACAGTTCCCAGTAAAAAGTGCATTGCACATATTCAAGGTTTGATAAATACATATTGAATAACTTTAAAGCCAACCCTATCTCTCTAACAAAATATTCTTTCTCTACTTCTTCATCACAACTTTGAATTCTTATCTTTCAAATCTAAAGTGTTAGTATCAGTTAAACTCATTACTTTTTCTAAAACATAAGTAATTTTATATACAAAGAATATATATTTTTCTATTATGTAAGTCAAAATGTACAAAAATGTATTTATAGTATTTATATAAAGCTTGTATATAACCTCTAGATGTTTGTATTTTTGGTCTTTTTAACAAATAATATTCTTAGTAAAATTTCACAAAAACGGACATGGAAATGTTGGATTAGGGTGATTAAATGCATCCTTAAAATAACTGATTTAAACTTTCTCTGTCTTTTAACTGTGAAATATTTCATCCTAGCAACATAAACGGAAACAGCCCTGCACTGTGAGAAGGAATCTAAGTTCTCGCATCTTGTACGCACTGCCCTCCATGCTGGGTTTTCAGCGACCCACTCACTGCTGAGCTGGCCTCAGCTGCTTGCATTTGCTCAGACCACCTCCATCTGTGACAACATGCACCCAGAAAACGAACTCAATTTAGACTCAAAATGATCCAAGCAAAATGTAATTCTGAATATGCAGCACATATTTAAAGCATGTGGTGGATTCTAAGCCATGATTACTTTTCACTCAAGACTGTAGCCTCGCGCACAGAGGGGCCTGGCGGGCTACAGTCCACAGGGCCGCAAAGAGCTGGACCCGAGTGAACACACAGGCACGCTCTATACTGTGCAGACCACTGCTCTCACCCATGCTGTGATTAAGTGTACATTTAATCAGGTTTCACTGCTAATTTTACACCAGTGAACTTCCTTTTCAAAAAACTGTTAACATTTGTTTCTAATTAAATACTTACTGCTTATGTTTTACAGACCCAACATCAGGTTCTTCATTAGACTGGGCTTACAACCTGGGCATCAAACACTCATTTGCCTTTGAGCTCCGAGATAAAGGAAGATTTGGTTTTCTCCTTCCAGAATCTCAGATAAAGCCAACGTGTAAAGAGACCATGCTAGCTGTCAAATTTATTGCCAAGTATATCCTCAAGCATACTTCATAAAGAATTGCTCTCTGTGTGGAATAAGCCAGTTAATTCTCCCCCTGCCTTTCACTAGAAAGTCAAGTCTTTGCTTATACCTAGATTGGTTTCCACATCACCTGAACAGGTCCTTTCTTGCTCACTCAAGTCCTATGTTATTTCTTTTTGCTTTTATTTACTCTCCATAACATCCTAACAAATAGCTTTAGGTTAAAGTTTAAGTAAGTTGTAACACAGCACAAAGTATTATTTTGAGTATTTTGAAAGGTAATAGACTCTGTCTCGGTCATGAGATGAAAATGAGAACCTTCACTTTCTTCAGAACCACTTTCACCATGTGGCTTCATCACTTCATGTGCCAAGATAATAAAAATAAAATATATTCCAAAACTCACCTTCTGTTTTTCATAAATTATGTTCTCTACATTCCCCTATTAATATTAATAATCATGCCTTAATTCTTTCTATGCGTTCTGTTAACACAGAAGAATATCTTCAATTTTTAAAAACATATTTTAAAAACAAATTTTAAAAACATATATTTAATACAAGTAGATCATGTCTTCACAATAGCAAAAGGATGTTCTAGAAGGAAATAAAGTAGTTTATTTAGAAATGAATCTCAGTGCCTTAAACAATCCAGTTCTCATCAACATAATGTACATTAAATTCAAAACAGTTTAAAGTGTCATAATCAGAGGATTGACCTGCCAAAACACCTCTTGACAGTTATAGACCACAGCCAGAATGTCTGATCAGCTGTAATCCCTGTCTAACAATGGATAGAAAAGAAGCCTGGAAATACAGTACAAATTGAAAAGAGAAAGTCATGTCGACTAAGGTCAATCAGAGTAACTTATTACCTTTATACTCTATAACCGTATTGCTTAAGGTAGTGTTACAAAATACCTTTTCCCTAACTGCATTCTTCTATATCTCATCATATGATAACACTGGTATCCACATTCTGGAAATCCAGAAAGAGATGATTGACGAGAATTTTAGGGAGATTTAAGTAGAGAGTTCCTTGACTTTCTATAAACATCTCAAAACAATCTGTATAACAATTTAGAGGATCTTAAAAGATTCCGAGAAACTAGGTTAACAAATAATCTGGGACATTCCTTACGGCTCCTTTAAAGCCCCACAAAAGAAAGAGTGTCATCAAATCTACAAGGTTTTGGTATATCTGATAGTTAGAAGGCAGGTTAAAGTTTCCCATGCAGAACTATCTAAAACCTATATAGGGAGACTTCTGTAAAACTAATAAAATTGCTCTACAGATAGAGGAGGAAAATGCAACAGAGACAAAAAAAAAAAGATAAAGCCCTGATTATAAGACTAAACTGTCCTAAAAATATAATATCTGTACCTAAATATTTACCATTCAAAACTGGCTCAGAACACAGGAATGTAAATGTGTTCTGTTTAATATGCCATATGAGAATTATACACTCATTCGCACTTACTCAACTGATAAAGGCCTGAAAGAAATTGTAATCTTAAAATGTACATAAAATATTTCTAATTCCATTAGGCCTTTAGGTAGAAGAGATAGGAGAGATAATCCCAATTGTTGAATATCATCCAGTGTTCACCTAGTTTATAAAAGGTACAAAAGTTTTACTCACCATTTTATTTGAGCCTTTATATAGCTTAATATTTATTTTCTCAATCAAACAGAAAGCATTTAAGTGTCAAAAAATCAAAAATCCTTGCAAGATCATTCATATCTTAATTAAATACCTTTTGCATGATATCTTAGGTATTTGCTTGACTTCATATGAATTGTGAAAATAAGTATGTAAAGAAAATACCTACATTAAAATTTAAAAACTAAAATTTCATTGTATTTATGGAAGTTTGAGTAGTCAGTGGTTGATTCTTCCCTTGTCATTTCTCATTTATCAGTAAAATGACTGTGTATCCAAGTTACAAGTAGAGCTGTCTCTTAAAATATTCTCGACAATGTCTCACAAAAGTCTTCTAAATTATCATTCCTATTCTAGTGTTCATACCACCAAATTCACTCAAGAAACATTGTTTCATATTTTGAACACTTTTATGGCAATGATCTAGTAGCTGAGACATATGTCTTCATTATAAGAGAAAATGAAATATCTTACTGATTATTTTTAGTAGTGCAAATAAATTTTAGTTTCCAATGGGCATTATGACTTCAAACTGATTTTAAAATGCCACATCAGGGGCTTCCGTGGTAGTTCAATGGTTAAGAATCCACCTGCCTATGCAGGGAACTCGAGTTCGATCCCTGGTCCAGGAAGACCCCACAAGCTTCTGGGTAACTCAGCCCAAGAACTGTAACTACTGAGCCCGTGAGCCCCGGAGCCCGTGCCCTGCCTACTGAGCCCGTGAGCCCCGGAGCCCGTGCCCTGCAACAATGAGAGGCCCCAGCTCCCTGCAGCCAGAGCGCCCGTGTGTGATCAAAAACAAATCAACAGCTTCCTCTAAAAAAAGAGCCATAACAGACGTCCCTTCCCCACCCCCAACACACCGGATACATTCTATAGCTACCTAAGTACTCACTGGCTAAATAAATATGAGACTTACTGACACGAGTTTCTCACCTAAAACAAACACTTAGCTTGATTTTCTTCAGATGAAATTCCCAAAGAAACTTGCAGGAGATCACTGAAAATGTACAAGTTCTCAGGTTCTTGTTCTTGCTAAGTGTTTAAATTATTCTGGTCATTCAAACGGATGAATGTTGGGTTTCTGTGGACAGGGGGAAAGATCAAAGACAGAGAACTTGATTTCACCACGTGGTCCTCAGTACTATAAACTACCCTTTTCTCTTTAACATAGAAAATATAAATGAAAGTTTTTCTAAAAGAGAACATGCCAAAAACCTACAATGAAATATGGTAGTATTAAATTGATGCTGATTTCCCAGGACACAAACAATAAAAAGCAGTAGCAGCAAACAATCTCAGCTGAACATGCATTTCTACAAATGTCTGTAAGAAGTAATCACACCTAGAAACCATGCCCACGTTTATGAACTGCTGCGTGTGAGCTTGTCCGCTCAGCGGCTCAGCTGTGTCCAGCTCTTTTCCACTCCACGAGCTGCAGTCTGCCAGGCCCCTCTGCCCACGGGCTTTCCCAAACAAGGATCCTGGAGCAGGTTGCCATTTCCTCCTCCAGGCTGTCTTCTGAACCCAGCGACAGAACCCGTGTCTCCTCCATTGCAGGATTCTTTACTGCTGTGCCACCAAGGAAGCCCAATTTAAGGGTTATTGATCCTCAAAAGTTTATAAGCACAACTGAAAACAAAATCCAACATAATTTGAAAAATATATGCACACATAAAACTTAACTCCAATCCAGGGATCTCAGAGTTTGTATAGCAACTTGCGTCTCTTTTGTAGTAGTTTGTTACAATTGATTTTCTCCTTTGTTTTTGTAAACAATATTCAGGAAAAAAATACATAAATGTATATTAGACAGCTGGAAAATATAAAACATTTCCAATTATCAAAAACAAGTAAATTAGATGTCCTGAAATTTTACAAAATAATTATAGCATGCCAATGCATTTGTTGTAATAGGTGGCCTGGATGTCTCCCTGCTCTGAAGTGCCACCTATAGCTTCCCTAGTTGCTCTGACCCTAAGCTGGTGCATGTTCAAATGTAATGTATAGAGAGTGACATTACCAAGATGGCCAAGTAAGATGTCCCTCACTAACACGTCCCCCTCCACAACAGTGATCTGCATCCATCCAGGGACAAAGGTGCCTCTAGGAGCAGCGGAATCCAGCTCCATGTGCCAAGGGGAATAGACATACAGACCCCAGTGCCAGCTGGGGACCCTGAACGGCCCATGAGCTGGCTCTAGCCCCTCTTGGCCACAAACCAGGAGTCCCTATAGAATACTGACTTGAACAATGAGCTACTTACTTTACGGAAGCACAGGAGTTCAGTGGAGAAGCTCCAACAAACCACCGGAGCAAAAAAAAAAAAAAAATCCAAGATTGGAGACATTGGAGAGGAGAAGAGGAACAGTTTGACTTTACCCTCATCATGTTTCCCCGAAGGCGCTGCAACTCAGCCTAAGAGAACTCTTCTCGGCCTGTGATTTGCCCCACAGGGGAAAGGGAGGACATGTGCGTGAGCACCGGGCTCCCCCAGCTACGTGGACACCATCCAGGAGGCACACTTCTCTCTGGTCTCACCCAGCATACTGGGTCACGAGCCGCATGGCTGGGAGAACAGCAGCCGTGAGGAGAAGGCATCAGAGAGACGAGAATGATTCCAACCACATCGCGGTGGCTTGCCTACGAGTCACTGGGATATCTTGCCCACAGATTTCCCCAACCAGCACAGCTACTCCAAGCACTTCACAAACTCACACACAGAAAACAAATATACACACCTCACGGCCAGCCCCCTGGGTATGCGTCCAACAGTGGTGAAAACACACGTTAGCAGATGACAGGCACATACTCAGAACAAAGCAGGTCTGAACCTATGGGCCAAGGAGAAGCCACAAGCTCCAACTCTGAGCACTGCTCTTGGGAAAGTAAAAGGCAGGCTGCCGGCACCCAGCCTGGTGTTCGGCAGGACCAAGAGAAGGTATACAAGCTTAAAACTCTGCCGTAAGAGGTAGTAAGGAGTAAGGAGCAGGCTATAGAAAGTCTGAGAAAGTCTCAGAATTCCTAACAGGGCTGAAGGAGAGTTCTTTCTCTCCTGAAATCAGTCAGTAAAGACTGGAGGAAGGGACTGCTACTTCAAATGTGAAGACAGCAACATAAAACTTCGAGGAACACTGAAAGTCAGGCAAACAGGATACCACCAAAGGAAAACAATAATATTCCAGTAACTCACCCCAAAAACATGGAGATCTACCATTCACCTGAGAAAGAACTCAAAATATCTGTTTAAAGGAAGCGCAATGAGCTACAAGAAAATACATACAAAATAATCCCATGAAACTGAGAAAACAATACACAAACAAAATGAGATGTTTAACAGAGATAGAAATCACCCACAAGAAAAAGAGA